CTTTGTTTGTCAGGTGCATTGACGTGGCACTAACAGGCTTGCTTTCCCCTTGCTTTCTGACACAGAATGCATCGTGAAACTCTAAGGCTGTCTTATCTGCGTACCTCCCGAGAATTGTTGTTTGTGATAATTCTGGGTCATATGGGCACCTATCCCAGTTCACTGCCATATTGCACGGTGAGTACTGTTTTACTGACCATGCATGTTATCTTGTTTGTTTGTTATCTGGTGATGAGCGGCCCGTGGAATGTTTTGGCGGAGTGCCGAAAACGGCCAGCGTCGATATGAAGCGCGGTCGAGGGCGCGAAACCGCGAAGTGTCCCACTAACAGCTATCGCTGGAATAAATGAATAAATAAATAAATAATGGAGGCTCTGTAAAAAAAGGTCGACAAAAAAAGGGACTCGAAAAACAGACAAAAAAGCGGCATGAAAGTGGCGTCCTTAGCGTCACGGGATCACATCACGTAAACCACGCGACGCGATGCAGTATGATTGAACAAGTTTCAATATAAACATGGTCGTACCTGCTCACGCGCTGCAGCTAACAGTTTACTGTGGTGCCATCGAGCTCTGCATGAACGCAAAAAATATATAAAATAATAAATGAGACGAGATGATTGCGTAGCTCACCAGCACCTAAGCTCCGGGTAAATGCTTGACAATGGGATTTGCAAACCACGTGAAAAGCTTGGCCAAAGATTGCCTTGATTAAAGTGAGCAAAACCTTGGAACACCAATGACCTACACGTTCATTTTCCGTAACAATGAGTTCAGCACACACCTTTCATTAACTGTAACATTTTACTGCCGTTATAAAAGACAGCAAGCAAGATAAGCATCCTAATAATAGCAATATTAATGATGATTTCACTAATAGATATTGATACAGAACGTTCTGGCCCACAAAAGCAAAAACTGCTTGTCTAGGCAAGCTTGAGAAACACCTTAACATAGTCAATAACAATTGCCTTTTAAAGCTATTCGAGTGTTTTCACTACAAGGAGTAAAACGAAACATATAAAAACACTCAATAGCGGAAAGCAGGGTAAATATCGCAAACCAATTTAACACAAGACAATCGAAAATTGAGCACAGAAGACGGGGGAGGGGGGGGGGGGGGGGGTTGGCGGATTCCTTTCTTATCGATCCTTCTAACCAGTGTTTGAGCAATTTTGTCTCTTTTTAAACCAACCAAGCCACCCTGTAATTTATTGAACAAAAACGGATCATAGTGCCGTTTTGCTTCTGGAGAAGAAATATCAATCGCTCTCTGGACATGCAATTGTTGTGGCATGCCAATCATTAAGACAGAACAGCATAATTGAGCTGCCCATTTATTTGATGTACGTAGGAAGCATTCAGTGCAGAACATACATCATGGCAAAGTGTGGAGTCAACAATGCGCTAGTCGGGAGTCAACTAAGAAAGAAACTATGAGGTGAATTGCAAGTTGTATACAATACTGAGGTTAGCTGAGGCTACGGTGTACGGCATCTGTGTATTGCTGAGTGTTACGATTTCCGTCCACGCGAAGTGTGGAATGAACAATGTATCCTGCAGGAGAGTAAGAAAAATAAACGCAACAACAAAACAAGGGCGGTAAGCGGAGGTTGTGCACAACATCGAGGTTAGCTCAGGGCTGAGGTTGCGGTGCGCAGTTGTGTGCTGCTGAGTGTTGGCATCTGCGCGAAAGCAATAATTCTCCCAAGAAAGCGGATCCAAGCGTTTAGGCACCATCGGAAAATGGCTCACCTGTTCCCTCCTTACCTCGATCGATTTATGGGAGCATCTGATAGTAGGAATAGAGAACGTCATCAAAGCCAGAAACCGTTTGGCAGAAACACTCGATTTATTGTTCATCGTTACCTGCCAATTTTAGGAGCGCTTCTTATATAAGGCCAGTTTACGGCGAGAATTGAGCACTCGTGGGTTCCACTTGTAGGTGTTCTTTTAAGGTTTACAGCACACCGTCTTGACTGTATACTCGACGAGGCATTACCCAAGAAAACGACCGGCCAGGTGGGGTAAGCGCCAGCCAAATTTACCTATTTATGTTTCTGCTACATCGTTTGAAGACGAACAGATCGCATTTTAAGATCTGACTTACAGAGACCATATCAAACAATATTTGATTCAGAATCAACTAACTGCATTTCAATTAGAGGGGTCTGATAGAACAAAGAAATGAAGATAGGGATCAGGAGCGTAAGGTTCCCAGATAAAAAATAATAACAAAAAAACGCAATCTTGATTATGTTGACAACGAATGCAAACCACCCTCTTTGAACCTCAGCTGTTCCTCGCGCACCTGCGCTCTGCGCAGTTGTTTTCACTGCATTGCTGAGCTCAGTCGGTAGGATATCCGACTAATAATCGCTTGCTGGCTGCTTCGATTCTCGTCGGGGTGTCCTTATTTTGGTATTAAGCACGAGCGGGTCAATGTTTAAAAAAGCTCGACAGATAAAACACATCTTGTGTTAATAAAAAGCGCACAATTGGTTTGTCTCTTCGGACAAGATTACCAACGGTAGCAAACGGTACCGAGGGCGTAGCAGTCGAATGTGGCTCCTATATTCGGCTGGAGTGCTGCGTCACCAGTCGGCTTGCTTCCTGTAACAACCAATAGTTTTGCGAATATTCGAGATGCCGTTCGCGGTCTATTAGCGCGGTAATGAAAGTTAGCGTAGCTGCACAGCACGCGCTGCCAGAAAGAATGTGCATTCTGCGCTCTCCTATATTCCCAGTTATGTTGCCATTTAATAGGAACCTTGAGCAAACCGTTACTGTGTTCCGCGTACTGCACTACTGGAGGCTTTGAAGCATGCATTTAAACGCACGTCTAAGTGATACCGCGACCGCGGGGCGCGCGCATAAAAGCACGCTTCCAAGGCTCCGGTAGTGCGGTACGCGGAACACGGTAACGGCTTGCTAAAAGTCCACAATAGGGAGTTTTCGTAGACCGTCTTCCCACCTCCGCTACGCTCTCCGCAACGAAGACGCCACTACTGCGCATGCGCGGCGCTAGCCTTGCCTGCAGAGTCCCGGATCTCGTAGCGGCGTGCGGGGAACCGTTGCGGGACAGCGGAAACCATCTACTACGAAAACTCCCTAATATCAGGGGGGTGAATGACGGGAGCAGAACGCGGAGAATCCTGAACGCTAACATCGGCGGTCCCGAGAGAAAGAACGAGAAAGAAAGCGAACAGCAGAGAAAGAAAGCGGACGAAAGGTTAGGCGCGTGTTCGATTTGCAGTGACAAGTTGAAGTTGCTCGTGCGCTTGTCAACTGTATTTGTTTTTATATACAATGCGCAATTCCGGTGTTTCTTTGTTGTTGTTGTTGTTGTTTTTTTTGCAAAGTAAGCTAAGAAAGAACGAGATACATACCTTACTGGCGGTGGTTTGCTACTTCTGCTCCATATTAAAGCGTTGCAGCTATATTGGCCCATTGGGGGACCACCATCTGGAACCGCCGATGTCCGCGTCTATGCCCGCCGTTCCGAAGCGGCACGAATGTATGGGACCTTTTCCTTTAGATTTTTATGTTAACTCTGTGGTTTTTCTCCGCACTAGACAAACCAATAAAATATATGGCAGGAATTGTTAGAAAAGTTGGTCATCTGGATTAATATAAACGTTGATCATGTCTTTCGTATTGTTACGTATAGCTTGTGAAATGGAATGCGCACTGACGGGTAGTGAACACTGGGGGCACAAAGTTAAGCGTTACAATGGAACAAAAATAAAGTAAAGGGAATTAAAAGGAAATCATTTTTTTTTACTGTAATTTAAACCAAAACTTCATGAGAAATATTTATTTATTTATTTATTTATTTATTGATACTACTATCTCCTTCGGGAGATGTGGTAGGAGGGGGTACATAATGTTGTATAAAGGCATACATTTCTAGTAGTTTTAGCACACGCGAATAAGGCAATCAATGTCATCATCATACAGTATTGAATAAAAATTAGAGCAAAAAAACAACGACAAAACAACCTACAAGAAATACCGTCAATCGCAGGAGTTACAGAAACTGCGAAGGTTAGCAATGAGCGATGACTCAGATGAAGCATTTATTATATGACTGGGTAGGGCATTCCAATCATGAATGGTCCTTGGGAAAAATGAGAACTTAAATACATCGACCCTACAGCTGTATTCTTGTAATGATCTACAAGGAAAATTTCGCGTGGGGTAATTATGAAGAGCAGGTGAAATATATGTAGAGGTGTCAATATTAAATCGGTTGTTCAGTAGGTCGAGCAAAAATTTTAATCTTTGAAACATGCGTCTATGGGTTAATGGGCTAATGCTGGAACACACATATAGTTCGGAAACCGGGTATTGTCTCTGAAATTTGTTGTATATGAAACGCAAGCCTTTTCTCTGTATGGATTCAAGTAAATTGTTATTGGGGCATAATCCCAATAACAATTTTCTTATTATTTTAGGCGCCCATTTGTAGACAGTCAAATAAAAACGCTTTACCAAGCACATGATTATGAAGTAGTCCTTAAACAAAGTAATACTAATAATAAAATAGTATATTAGTCCGAGCGAAGACAAAAGAAATGCTCCTACTCCGAGGTAAAAACAATTATGAGCGTAAAGTTGATCTTACTGCTTCTATGACTGCGTTTCTCAATACTATAAAGAGATAAACTAACTACATGTAAACATTTCGCAAATAAATTACGATTAAATCTGCTTAATTATGATTTAGCATTATAAAGTATGCTTCTCTATGCTTTGTTTGCTTATGCATAGCCTCCGATGTGCTAAGCATGCTCTTTGTCTTCCTGACCTGAGTGTAACGGGTTTTCGTTCCACCCAAGTGTCAGGCCTTTCGTTGAAACCCAAGTCATAAACACATTCTATGTTAAAAATAAAACTGCTGGTTCTTGATACTTTTAATCTGTATGATGACCTTTTTCTTCCAATTCGTCTGACACTATCACGATTGTCCTCATAGGTTTTCAAGCGCATTGACCGACGATGCTGTGTTTCTTCGTGGTGTATTTTTTTGTCGTGGCAGCGAACGATGTCGGAGATGATGCAAACCTGAAGGCTGAGTGGGAGGCCTTCAAAGCCAAATACGGTAACGTTTTTCTTTAAAAAGTTTATAAAAATTTAGGCCAATAGTGTCCGAAAGATAGTACTTGCCGCAGAATCTATTTAAGAAAAAAGACACTCGTGTTTTTTTTTTTTTTTTTTCTTAGCGTGCAAAATAAGTTCGGTGTCGTTGAACGCTCATTTTTCTGTCAAATGTAGCGCTAACAATTAGATCCAGATGCTCAAGTTTCAAAACTTACCGTTGCTTAATACAAATGTTGTAAGCGATGTTAGAAAAATTTAAATGAGGAAATGTTCGTTTCCGGCAGCGACTCTACTTGTCTCCATGTATTCGCGGCCTCCGCTGACCGCTATTTCCTCGTTGAAAATTTCAGAAAATTGCTTAAATATTTTGCATAAAAAAATGGTAAGTTCTGAAATGAGCAAACGAGAGTGTACAAGAACCAATAAGGCGTTGTCTTTCTTTCAAAAATTGCAACATTGCCTCGTTAAAAACATCAGCAACAACAAAACGCTACGTAGCAAAACAAACGCATATAGTAAAAAGAAGAATATTGTTTTTAAAACTTTTTTCTTTGTTTCTCCAGGGAAGTCATATGCGTCTGAGGCAGAGGAGCATTTCCGAATGAAGGTGTACATGAAAAAGAGACAGGAAGTTTCCGCGCACAACGAGAAATATGCCAACGGTGAAGTTTCCTTTTATCTTGGAATGAACGAGTTCAGTGATCTGGTGAGTCAGTGTCGTGTTTCAGTTTCCGTCTGCTACTATCGCGCCCCTGAAAAAAGGAGCAGCGAGCTGCCGCGCCGCGGAGAATCTTTTCCTCAGTTGCAAAATAGAGATTTCTTCCGAAAGATGCAAACTCGTCTTCTTTTGGACACCCGCATGCACACAACAGTTAGTACGTAAAGTACCTCATTCACAATAGAAAAAAAAATGATACTGGGATTAACTGGTCTGCAACTTTCAGGTCTTCTTTATAGTAACGATAGTCGCCAGTTCATTAACTTCCTCATTTAAAGGGCGAGACCATGCATGACGAAACGACAGACGAGCCTTGCAACGTGTCGGGTAGATAGCCGAACCCGACCAGGTGCCAGCCAATCGCGGTGTTGCGCGCTTTTCTTATGACGTTGTGATTGGCCGGTGCCTGGTCGTGTTCGGCCATCTTTTTAACGTGTGGAGAAAACCGTTGTTGTTTTCGTCGTGCATGTTACTCTCGTCTCATTTACCCATGGAAACGTGCACTTCACTTTTTAGGACATTTTAATTTTTCACAATAAAATGCTGGTCGGCATTGTTGCTTAATTGCACGGCTACCTAAATTGTCGTCTCGGACATTATTGTTTTACTCCCATTTACTTCAATTAAACACTTGGCAGAAAAAAAATGAGGCTTTCTTTCTTGCCGTTCTTTTACTGAAATAAATCCTAGAGGCGCTTACAGTTCCATTTCTTGTTTCGTCAATATTACGTCAAAGTGGACGTCGGCTGATAGAAAAATGGGGTCGTTTTTTTTTTGTTTTCTTTTAATCAAAGGTAACGTCATGTTCACAAACTTTCGTGTTCTATCCCAACCACTAGCGTCACATTCTCACGTCTCACGGAGATTAATAAAGCTTGAACTTGCATTTGGGCTAGTTGGTTGTACATTGATAGACGTGCTGCGCTGCGAAGTTCTACAGAACAAACGCGTGACCAAAAATTGAAAGGAAAAGGATGAGTTACATTGAGATGAGGAGAAACACAACGAACACGAATGGGCGCAGACTCACAACTGTTTATCCTTTCCTTTTTTCTCCGTGCGTGAGTTTGGAAAAGAACGAAAGCTATGAAATAATGATAAATGTCTTCATGACGATGTGTGGACTTTCGATTTTTGTGATGTTTTTTTTGTTTTTTTTTTTCTGGTAAACGTTTGGTTTTGTGGTGTGAGAGGGGACCTGGAAGCTGGTGCTGGTGTCCGCCTCGTTATGCTGTGTGGTGTCTCAGCAGTTAAATTTCCTTTTCGTTCAGTGCAATGAATGGATCACTGACACACGTGCCGTGCTTCCGTGATGCCATGTGGAAGGCTTCTATGATTTCGCGCTTGTTTTTATTTTTTGATCTGTCCATGACTGATGTATTTCCAAATAGCGGTTCGCAACTGCATCTTGCGCAATCCGCTGCTAAGTCTCTAGGTGCTTGCAATTGCCCGCATGCATATTTATGCTCTCTGAGTCTGTCATTTAAGCACCTCCCCGTCTGCCCGGTGTATGAGTTTCCGCACGTCAATGGTATTTTGTAGACGACCCCTTCTACTCATTCTACGAACTTGCTTTTGTGCCTTACCCGACACGACGATTGACCCGATGTGTCGCCTTCCTCTTTGTTAACCTTTTTGCACAGTCCTTTTAGCTTAAAGGGGGCGGATAGAGCCACTTTGTCTTCGTGCGTTTCGGCGATCTTTTTCAGTCTGTGCAAAAATTTATAAATATATGGCATCACTACCAGTGTTTTTTTGACCGGGTCCTTTTCCTTGGTTTTGTGATTGCCTCTGGGTGTTGCTATGCATTTTTCTGCCACTGCTACTTGCAAGGGTTCTGGGTAGCCACTTGCTTGTAGTCGGGTGATTTGCCTTTGTACGCCTTCTGACATTCTGTGGTGGCAAGATTTCTTTATGGCCTGCCATACGCACCGACAGGCAACGCAAGCAAGCGGCTACCCAGAACCTCTGCTAGGAGCAGTGGCAGAAAAATGCATAGCAACACTCAGAGGCAATCACAAAATCAAGGAAAAGGACCCGGTCAAAAAACCACTGGTAGTGATGCCATACATTCATAAATTTTCGCACAGCCTGAAAAAGATCGCCGAAACGCACGAGGTCAAAGTGGCTCTATCCGCCCCCTTTAAGCCAAAACGACTGTGCAAAAAGGTTAACAAAGAGGAAGGCGACACATCGGGTCAATGGTCGTGTCGGGTAAGGCACAACAGCAAGTTCGTAGATTGCGTAGAAGGGTTCGTCTACAATATACCGTTGACATGCGGAAACTCATAAATCGGGCAGACGGGGAGGTGCTTAAATGACAGACTCAGAGAGCATAAATATGCAATCGGGCAATTTCATGCACCTGGCAACTTATCAGCGCATTGCGCAAGATGCAGCTGCGAAACGCTATTTGGAAATACATCAGTCATGGACAGATCGAAAAATAGAAACCAACGCGAAATCATAAAAGCCTTCCACATGGCATCAGGGAAGCACGGCACGTGTGTCAGTGATCCATCCATTGCACGGAACGAAAAGGAAATTTAACTGCTGAGACAGTACACAGTATAACGAGGCGGACACCAGCACCAGCTTCAAGGTCCCCTCTGACACCGCAAAAACCGAACGTTTATCAGAAAAGGAATAAAACACCACAAAAATCGAAAGTCCACACATCTTCATGAAGACATTTATCATTATTTCATAGCTTTCGTTCTTTTCCAAACCCACGCACCGGGAAACTCATATGCGGAGAAAGGGGAAACGGGACGCGATGCGGCCCTCTCTTTGAGGCGTCGCAGGGGCGGGACGTGCGAGCGCGGTACCGGTTGGGGGGCCTCTTTGCGCGAGTGATCGCGGGGACGGGCGCTTTGCCGAGAGGCGGGTGCGCGCCCGCGCCTTAGGCACGGGGTTGGCTAGCTTGAAAGCCTTTATATACTGTACATAGCGCGTTTTCGGGTTTTGGTTTTGTTCTGGGCATGACACCACTGTTGTGAATAAAATTTTCTAAACACATAGAAAAGGAGAAAAAAGAAAAGAATAAACAGTTGTTATACTCTGTTTCACCTTATGATGTACCACAGAAAAGGCTACAGGCGCTAGCTCCTTGCTCTAGGGCACATCTCGGCGACACAAGCTCTCGTGCATTAAGGGCAGCTGCCAACGCTATAAGCTTGCGCTTCTAGCATTCGCTGCGGTACAACCCGAAGGAAAAATCCATCAATGAAACTCTGTTTGGCAGTCAATGTTTTCTAGTGGACCGCTGACTGTGCCTGACTGTACGTCAAGCATGTCTGATTGGCCAACAAGTTACTCTGACCGACAGTCAAACTCCAGTCAGACTCCACTTGTCGGCTTTCTGATGGTTTCCTGGTGGCACTCGGTCGCCGCGAAATGACATCAAGATGTCTTGAGGGCGATTCTGATTGTACATCGATTGGCTCTGACTGTACGTCAAAAAGCTTTGACGTGCGGACAGACGTACGGTCAAAGGACGTAAAGTTCGTTCGGATACCACTATTTCGTCAAATCTATGAATACGAAAAATAATCTATGCACAAGAAAACGATTTCGGGACGTGAGCCCATAAAACCGCTGATGTTAGAGATATGACACGCAGCGGACCGACAACCTTGATCAGAAGCCCGCCGAACACGCCACTTCGCTGACTTCACTTCGCCATAGAGGCTTCGCCGAGCTTTCATAAACGATCGCTCTCGACTCGTTTTGTTTGCCCGCTTGCTCCAACCTGTCGATCCTGCCCGGGCTCTACAATGTCTTATGTTTTAGTAGTATTTCTACTCGACAAGACCAAGCCTGTTGTGAGTTCCGACGATGTAAGGGACTTTAGCGGTGTAGTTGAAGACGACAAGGTGTACTGGGCCGGGGACGCGCGAACAAAAGGATCGTTCTACGGCGCGAAAGTACTCTATACTTCGTTTCAGCTTCGGTCCAGACGCAGCCGATGCTACAAGCGCAGGCATGTGGCCCAGAGCAGTGCTTGCACTGCACGAGCGCGCGTGCTTGGCAGGGATGCTGAAAGCCCGGAGCTCGCGCTTGTAGCTTTGGCTGCGTCTGGACCGAAGCTGAAACGAAGTAAACATGGCAGGTGAGTAGAACTGAAGTACGGCGAGTGATGTACGAGTGCTTTGCATAACATGCTTAAGGCTTAACTGCATTTGCAGCCGAAGCATCTCGTATAAAACGAATGGTCAAATCGAGTTTCCTAAGCGATGGCATAGTATAGGGGAGGAAGAAGAATACGCCGTTGCGAACGGCCGTGGAAATATGCTCTCTGGTGGAAACACCGCATCGGCCACTGGCCGAGTTATTTCTAAGTCTTCGGATGTCGTCTCCAACGAATATAAGGTCATACTTCCACGTCTGCCAACCGGCAACATCGTCCTCAACTTCGTATTTCTCCACGCCGATCTGACTGCTAGGCCATACACGGCCCCGGACTTTCGAGGCGCCATCAAAGATGTTATCGACCTGAAAGATGTCAAAGCCACCGGACAATTTCAGATGAGTCATGTGTGGATGGTGACCTGCGTCAACGCCCTCGCCAAAGAGAAGCTTTGCAGTCGTGGTGAGTTGGTCGTGAAAGGCAAGAAATACCTTGTCCTTGACCCAGACACCCGGGACCTCAAGATCAAGCTTATTCGGCTTCCGGACTACCTCGAAGATAGGCGTATCATCGAAGCTCTGGCGCCTTACGGCACAGTCCGTAACATCAGCCGAGAGAAGTGGCGGTGTCCCGGCATGGAGCACATGGACACCCTCAATAGGGAAGTTAACATTACCCTGCATGAAGGAATCACCACGGAGAGAATTCCATTCCTACTCAAAGTGTATGGATGTCAATCGCTCATCCTTATTCCAGGAAGACCCCCCTTGGTGCCTCATGTGCAACAGGGTAGGACACGTCCGCCGACAGTGCAGAACACCGCGTTGCTCGGAATGTAAACGCTACGGACACACCGCAGACGACTGCGTCACAACTTATGCAAGCAAGCTTCGCGGAACGATATCCCAGGATGAAGAGGAACGGTCTGAGCTCCTGATGGATGTCTCGGAGGTTGTCGATGCTTCCGGGCACACACCACCCCCAGAAGCCTTTACGAGCCAAGCCGAAGGTGACCTACCAGCAGCTGTGACCGACACCCAAACCACGGAAAACGATCCAGAACTCCTCCCTGAACCATCCCCCCCACCTGACGATGATGACGACAACTCGTACACAACCACGGTCGTCGGGGAGGATGCTACAGCAAGTGGAGACGACACCACCACCACCTTTGAGGTAGCACCAACGACCATCAGGTTGGATGCAGACGCGCTGAAGCCGAAAGATCTTTCAGAAGGACTCGGCTATCAGTCTGACACCGTTGTAGCTGATGAAGGGGCGGTCGCAAAATCGAGAAAAGATAGAAAACAGGTAGGAACCAGACACCAGCCGTATCGAAAACAAAGTACAGGTAGCAATAAGACGCTTGAAGATGGTCATGAGAGGCTTTAGATCTAAAAGGAAACAGTACCAACTTCTAAGGCTCTTGAATCACGAGCATGTTGACATAGCCGCAATACAAGAAGCAAAATTCCCATCAGATGAAGACGTGGCAGAGGCTTTAGAGCCTTTTCGGAAAGACTTCGAAATATGTGTGTCAGGCAGTAGGTTTTTCTGCCGGTTGTTTTCTGTTTCTTCGTAAAAGGCTTGGCTATTCGTGTGTTTCCTTGACCAGTGACCAGGAAGGGCGTTTCATTTTATGTGACCTTTCTTTAAGACAGATCAACTGGGCGTTTTATTTGTATATATGCTCCTAATACGGTGAATGGAAGGACTTCTTACTTCCAGTTTCTAGCACATTTTCTGAACACCGACAAAACAGTTGTACTAATGGGAGATTTATTTGTGTCTGTAGCGCAGAAGACCGTGCGCTACAGCAGACACGGTATGACAAAAGCTCTGCGTTACATACTCCAGGGGCGCAACCTTGTAGATGTGGCATGTCGGAAAGACCAATCAATACGCTTCACTCACTTTCAAGGTGTTTCACACGCTCGTCTTGGTAGAATATATGTGTCAGGCGATGAATTTAATTTAATGAAGAACTATAGCGTTAAACCGGTGTTCTTTACTGACCATTGTTTAGTTTCTGTTAGCTTCGGGACCAAAACTCTCCGTGTTTTTCGGCCCAAATGGGAACTGTGGAAACGTAATGTGAAGCTTTTAAAGGATGAGAAGTTTTCAAAAGGAGTTTCATTAATTCTGTCGGAGAGCCTTAAAAATAGTAATATCCATATTCTTGCAATATGGGACAGTTTTAAGCAAGAGGTAAAAAAACTTGACAATTGAACGCTCTACAGCAATATCTTACGAAAACAAACAGGAACAGCGCGAACTCTATAAAACTCTTTCGTTATTCCATGAGATGGAAAGCATCAATGCCGGTTTTTACAACGACGACATCAATGTCACCAAGACACAGCTTCAAAAATTCGAGGCAGAAAGATATCGTGGAGCAGTAATACGTTCTCGCACGAAAAAGTTTTTGCTTGGCGAGCAACCCACCAAACGATCCCTGGATGATGAGAGGTGATATGCCCTATCGAAAGAAATATTAGAAATAGATCAAGAAGGCATAACTATCAAGGAACCAACCTTGATTGTTAAAGCATTTGAAAACTACTACTTAAGCATTTTTGGCAAGGCTATTCACACAGGCAATGCAAAGAATGTAGATAACTTGTTATCATTAATGCCTGCACTTAGGGAAGACAATAAAAATATTATAGAAGGCCCTATAACTTTAGATGAAGTCAAGGCCGCAATCGACTCTCTACAAAATGGCAAAACACCAGGACCCGATTGGCTTAGCGGAGAGTTTTACAAGAAATACCGAGACAAACTTAGTCAAGTGTTACTTGACGTTTTTCATGACTCCTACCAATGGAAGACGCTTCCTCCATCCTTTTACGACTGCCATACTGTCCTAAAACCCAAGACGGAAGACGTGGATTTGAGGAAAAAAGTTGAAAATTATAGGCCGATATCACTTTGCAATGTAGATTACAAGATCTTTGCTAAAATATTGAATGACAGACTCCAGCTAGCAATCGAAGACCTTATTGGTGAGCACCAAAGATGTGGTATAAAAGGAAGAAATATTCAAACCAATATCCACGTTGCGCGCTCGGTTCTTGAGTGTGCCTCTGACAGTAACATACAAGTTGCTTTGATATAAATTGACTTGTCAAAAGCCTTTGATCGTGTGAGCCACGCATTTTTGTTTGCACTCCTACGCCACATCAACGTAGGCGAAACAGTGTCCGAAGGTATTAACCTGTGTTATCATAATAGCACTACAAGATTAATTGTGAACAACATGCTTTCCGATAAAATACACATAAAAGCTTCCGTTCGCCAAGGCTGTCCATTATCACCTCTTCTCTTCACCATATATTTGGAACCTTTGTGCCGGAGCATATTTGCAAGTCAGAGTATTCAAGGATTTGCTCTTAATAATGCTAAGGTAAAGGTACTCGCTTATGCCGATGACGTTGCCGTCTTCTGTGCTGATAAGAAGAGTGTGGAAGAGGCCATACATGTTACAGAACATTTCTGTAGTATTACTGGAGCATCAATGAACACGGAAAAATGTAATAGATTTTGGTATGGTTCATGGGCTACCACGCCCCCATTTTTTGCCGGTATTGCATGGAATCGTGGTCCGCTGAAATACCTGGGAGTTCCACTCTCACACATGAGGAGTAGCTCATCATACTGGTCGTCAATGGAAACCTCGTTGAGGAGGAAAGCTGAAGCATGGAAAGGACGTGACATGTCCATGTCCACCAGGGCAAACGTGTGCAATGTGTTCCTAGTGTCTAAGCTAATGTATGTACTTCAGGTGATGCATTGTGCGCGTAAAAACATTCAAAAATTTTATCGAATTTTTGCGACATTTATTTGGCGTTCGTCGTGGGAGCCTCTCAGAAGGGACAACCTTTTCCTTCCCCTGGAGGCAGGGGGACTAAGTCTGTCTCATCTATTTGTTCGGCAATTAGTATCCTTTTTTTTTTTTTTTTAAGAATGCCGACCATCTCTTCCTCAAAACCGTTCTTCAGTTACGACTGGCCACAAGTTTAAATTATTTAATTGTATCCAGTGATGATTCCTTTCAGGGAAGTCCTTGGGGCTTCCTAAAAGAGGTAGCGGACACGATTGAATTCTTGAAGACACGTTTCTCATTAAAATATTTACTTAATGTTACACGCAAGGAACTATCAGCAGCGATAATCGAAAGCATTTTTCCCATCCCGCTTTACCGAAGTCACTTTCCTGTCGATCCCCAAGATGATGTCCTTTACAGAGTAAAGAAGATGTCTGTTCCACCATCAACCAAGTCGTTTTTTTTTTTTTCAAACTGCACACTTCGACCTTGCCCGTTAAAACTTGGCTTCATAGTAGAGGGATATTTGTGCCGTGGACGGTTAACTGTAGGCTATGCAATAAGCCAGAAACCATAGAACACTGCTTCATTTACTGTAATGACGCCTTTTTTTTCTGGGATGTGTTTCAACGAACACTAAAGAAAGACCTCGACATCACTGATCAAACTATTTGTTTCCTTCCATTCTCAAAAGGGGAAACTGTTCCTTACGACATATTTGTAATTTTAGGCCTCCACAGTCTGTGGAGATGTGGAATGATAGGTAGAAACGCGGAAGCGCCACGCACCACAAAATCTATTTTTGTGGAGAATATGGCTCAGCTGCGCAGTGTTTACGCGGCACAGTCATCCCAGCCTGATTGGTTTCTACTGTTAGACGCCTGCACAGGTCTACCAGATTTTTTAAGATTTTGCTTGTTTGCCCATTGTCAACCCCTCCGTTATATATGTATATAGCTCTGTGATTTTAAGGACTTTGGATGCGTTCTGTGTGTCAATAGGTTTTGAAAGATTTGATGATCATTTCTTAAGTTTTGTATAATAATCTAATCAAGACATCAGCGTTAAAGAGGCCTATTGTTGACTGTGGATTGAATCCTCTCTGTAAACAGCATTTCATCTTTATCTGTATATTACTGTGCTCGTTTGCCTGTGTGGATGCTTTTTGGCTGATGTACTCTCTCTTGTTCTATAACTTCCATGTAATAAAGAAAAAAAAAGAGAAAAGACGATGGCATAGTATAGGGGTTAAGGTGTCCGATTTGTACGCAAGTGGTCGCGGGTTCGATCCGCTGTGGTCCTGCTTTTTTTTCTTTTTTTTTTCTCGACCATTTTGTTTTATCGAGGCATTTGGCGATATTTATGAGTGCGTTTAGCTTTACTCTTGTATAAGTGCTGCCCTTGTTGATGAAATTCCCTTGGCAGTGGCAGTCAGACGTCATCTCATGGACCATCAGATGACGTCTGATGGTCCATCATGTTCCACCAAGGCTGCTGACTGGCAGTCAGTGTCCCAATTTACGTATCTTGATGGAATTTTCAATAGGGAACATAAGGTGAAACGGAGTATAGTCTGCGCCCATTAGTGTTCGTTGTGTTTCTCCTCATCTCAATGTAACCCATCCTTTTCCTTTCAATTCTTGGTCACGCGTTTGTTGTGTAGAACTTCGCAGCGCAGCACGTCTATCAGTCTCACGGAGCTTCAGCTTACTGGAATGAAGTATTTATTTACGCAAACAACAAAAAAACACTCTTAAAAAAAAATCTAACGGGTGTATTTTGAGAAAAATGAAACGAGAATGCTCTCTATAAGTGGTTTTAAACATTGTGTAACTCTGCAATGTGTGTTTGTGCTTTTTTCTCTTTGCAGCTGATAAAACATAATTTGTTGTAATGCTTGCTTCCGACATGCTTTCTGCCGAACATCGACAAGAACAATGTTAAATGTACCGAAAAACTTCCGACAGTAGAAATGGTCGTCATATATGTGTTTATCCTTCCTCCGCAGCCGCAAAAAGAGTTCGTTCGTTTGCGTAACGGCTACAGAGGGAAGAAGTTTGTTGGGCAGCCTTCACCACGCCTAGAGCCGCCTGCTGACGCGCAGGATTCCCCCCTGCCGGAATCAGTGGACTGGAGAGTGAAGGGTGCTGTAACGCCAGTCAAGAATCAAAGGCGTTGCGGATCTTGCTGGGCTTTCAGCGCTGTGAGTCAATTCCACACCCACAAAAAAAAAAGGTTTTAAGGCAACGGTTTTAAGATAAAAATATTTTGCATCTCGTCATTTTTACGTTCTTTATCGTGTCCCGGAGTATACAGAAAACATCTCCTTTATTAAAAAATGGCGCGATTCCGCTGCATAATTGCAAAGCAAAAGTCGAGCTTTTTCCCCCACCTGCAGCCGTGAGTGGCAGCCGAAGGTACTAGGGCGAAAAGCTTACGTGACCTCGCTCGGAACTAAGCTGTAGCATAACGCCCGCTATTGTCAACAGAGAGAGGGAGAAGAAGCGTCCTGGGAGCAGGGTGTCGAACCGAAATGTTTTTCGTTCCGTTTTTCGTTCCGGTTCAGGAAAAACGGTTCAGCTCCGCTACAACTCCGGAGTGAAAAAATAAAGGTTCAAACCGGTTGGAACCGGTTCATAGTTATATGCTACAAAAACAATTGACGGCAAAAAAAAAATATAAACTCTGCATATTTTATAAAAGAGTTGCACATAAAAAGCAAAGGCTCACATTACTGTGGAACGAACGAGCTAGTGCTGGGGCACCTAAGGACGTGCGTGAAAGCGCCGTTCAATGTCAGGCAGCTGGCCAAAAAGCAAGACGTCGTCAAGCATATCCGGAGAAAGACGGCACCTCTGAGACTATAAGATCAACTTCAGCGCGGAAAAGGCTCGCTCCACGCTGACCTGGGTCGCAGTCACTCACAGAGTTACTTACGCCAATACGTAGAGTTCTGGAGTGCGTTCCCTTCTTTCCTCCCAAAGCTGCAACACGTTAGCCTCCCTTGAAAGCTGCGCCTCTTTGTCTAGCATTTCTAGGAGGAAAGGTATATCAAGTGGGCTACTGGTACCTCGAACGTGTACGCCAGCCTCAACCTCCCTTTCCTTGAGGAGCGCTGCAAGGGCGACTTCCGGATTTTCTGGAACCGCCGTAGTTTCGGAAGAAATGGTAGAATCTTACTCCCATTGCAGAGCTGTGATCCGCCTCCAAGTCTTTGTCAAATGCAACGTGGCCCGGTACGTTTGCTCAGTGGCGAAAGAAGGCGGTAGCGGGGATCCATGGACACTGCTCCACAGAAAACATCCGTGTCAAGGAGTTTACGCTCCCTTTTTTTCATTGACTGGACCAAGGCCTTTCATAACGGCGACGATATCTTCGAAGGTTCCATGGGACCGCTCAGCCATGCTCCGTAAAACTCTCCTACAGTGAGCTGTTCCTTCTGCAATGTCTTCGTCGCCACTCTGCCGGGCGAAGCGATACTGCGAGCATTTCGACTTCCGGGAACACGCCTTCAGCCCACCTGGAGCTTTCTTCTTTTGAGTTGAAACCTCCAGCGAAGCCTCTTAGTTCAAGGCGTGAGCATATGCAGCGTGGACATTCACAGCGTTGAAAAAAAAAAGGCACTCGTTTCTTCAACCCTAGCTTTCTGATCAGGGACAGAACAGATTGAACACGTACTCTCTTAACAAGCTTACGGCTTTCTTCAACAGTGTGCCCGCATTCCTAGCCTTTCAAGGCGTTACTAACTGCCAGCTGCAGCGTGTGAGCGGCGCACCTCATCCCTTCTAGCAAGCCGGAATCATCAGAGAGTGCGCTCTCAGGATTCTCCACGAGAGACCGCAGAGCGTGAGACTTAACTTTAGGGTTACTGGAGCCGACCTCTTCTTCGGAGTCAGAAAATGTTTCGTCCATTTCACCGAGGAGACACACAGCTTTCACCATGTTGCACCGTTGTCTATCGTGACGCAGTATACCTGGCTGACGTTGAGATTGAACGCCTTGATGAAATCAACGCGTTTAAAGTAAATTGTACATAACTCTACAAAATTGAAGACAAGAAACTCCAAACAGATATTGAACTGAACGCAAAAAAAGAAAACAATGACAAAGAGAGGTATAGAAAACTCTAGGCATGTTGTCTATACCTCTCTCTGTCCTCGCATTTTTTTTTTTTTTGCGTTTGGTGTGAGTTGAAAATTTAACTAGCCCAACTCACCGTTTTGCCACCAAGCAGGTTCATTAATTGGTCACTTTTACTGACGTACGAATTGGGTATGTCCTTGTGATAAATTGTCTTTAATGAACCATTTCCGGTCCCCAAGAAAAGGTTGGAACGAATGTGGTCACTTGTTAAAGAAATACATGAGACCAGAAGTCCCGGAGAATTTATAGTTACTGTGCGCATTCCGTTTTAAATTTCGAGACGAACTTTTTAAATTATGAAGACGATTGTTATGTGAAAACCTGATAATTAACCTTTACAGAGCTTTCCGCTTCTATTTTCCTCGCTTTTTGATTTCCTGCATGATTTAAACACCGCGAAAATAATTGATCAGTTTTCCAGGAACGAAAAAATAATCATTTCAGTCCGGTTCAACTCCAGTTTGCGCGAAAATATTTTTTCGTTGTTGTTGCAATTTTCGATTTACTTTTTAGGTTATTGTGTTTTTCGCCACGCACTTTTCACGTGACCTGACTTCGCGTATGAACCGAAAACTTCACGGAAAACATATCGGTTCCGCTCCGGAACAAAGAAATTATTTCGTTCCGGTTCAACTCCGGTTCGCGCGAAAATAGTTTTTTTATCGATTTTCGGTTTACGGTTCGGGTTCGATTCAATACCATGACCGGGAGCAGTGTTGCGGAGTTGCCACTCCGGAGTTGGAATGATTCCGGAATCATTCCAATTTTTTGCGACACCGGAATGGAATGGGAATGGAATGGCGGCAGCGTTGAGGGGAATGTAATGCGAATGGAACTAGATGCCTTTTTTCGGAATGGAATGGGAATGGAATAAGCCCAGTTCTTCTTCTTTTTTTTTTTTTTTTTTTTAGTGTTTACGGTTAGCGAATTTGAGCCAGTCAGCGAGCCAGTTGCTCAGAAATAAAATGAGCGGGCGGGAAACAGCTAACCCACGTGGAGCTCTAACAGACTTATACGCAAAAAATGCAATACAAAAAAGAAGCTTCAAAGCAAAGAGCAGAGGGGGGAGGGAAGGGGGGGGGGGGGGGGTGGCGGTGGCGCCTTTCGCGCAGGCGACGGGCTTTACTGGCGTTACACGAGAGCGAGCGAAACAAGAAACCAAGCACCAAGCAAAAGAAACGAAGGCATGGAGAATACACGCACGCACAGACAGATCTGAGAGCGGGGGACGACTCACAACCCGCAGAGCTCTGATAACTCGTTGACTCGCGCGCCGCCGAAAGATGATCAGTTCTTGTTTTCTTATAGTTCGAGGAGCGTTGTTTAGCAGGCGGCCAAACCTGCTGCCTTCCATGTTCATTCGCGCGCACTCCTTTGAAGTGCGAACTGTGGGTTCGCTTCGGCAATAAAACAAAGCAAGATTCGCTTTTCTCTTTTCCTCTTGCGCTTTGCTCAGACACTGTTTTTTTTTTTTTTTTATTATTATTATTCTGCATTTTTACGTGTAAGTCCGCCTTTTACTTGGTCGTTGTTCCGATGCTTGTTTTCTGTGTTATATGTTTTACATTCAAGTAGATTACGGTTACAGGCAAGCTAGCGGATTCCCGCTCATTTCCTTTGAATTTAGACTCTGCCTACTTTGTTTCACCTTGTGAGGGACCGCTGCGGACGCTACGAGTCACCCCAGGCAATCCAGCACCGTGAGGTGGACAACACGCACGGCGCGTTGATGCGCCCCAGGGTCACGCGACACTCAGAAGGCACTGGATTGGTTTCGATGGCTCTCGTGCTGTCTGTTACGGTCCATCGTAAGGTGAAGTAGATTGTCGTCACCGCTCTTGTCGCGTGACCGAACTGATTAGACCTGCAGAAAAACTGTTTCGTGACATGGTCTCTCGTGCTGCGCCGTAGAGGTTGCACTTTGTCAGAGGATGTGTTCCTGCCACTGTACATAGAGTCGCTTCGAGCAGCGTTCTAGCCGTATTGTTGTGCAGGTATTCTAAGAATACAGTACTTAATATAGCCTATTTCTGCGCCACGCATGAACTGGATATTTTCATGGTCTTATCAAACAAACACGCTGGCCGCGTATGCCCTAGACGACAAATGCAAAAAAAAGGTTTGCCAAACAAAATTAGTGGATTTACGTTTTGCTGTTTGTTGGGAGCCGTACGTGATCGAAAGACTGATGTTTTAAACAAGCATCGACATATCAAAGGGCTTTCTCGATGTTTGCAGTACAATCTAAACAAACACTTTGTGCCACCAGTGCTCCACTGAGTAAAATCAGTGCTTTTTTAGGCATTTTGCATTTTGTTGCAATTGTTTATGCGTTTGATAATGTCAGCTCTAACAATTTTTACGTTTAGGAATTAGAGGAATGGAATGGAACGATTCAATCATTCCAGGAGTGGGAATGGGCCCAGTGTCCCCATTCCTAGGAGTTGAAAGGAATTGAATTATCGCAAGCTCTAATTCCCCGGAATGGAATTGGAATGGAAGGGGGGTGCCCATTCCGCAACACTGACTGGGAGTGAGTTGAGGAGCGCCAGAAATGCCAATATATATATATATATATATATATATATATATATACAACAGTTAGGACACGCAGGCGAAATCGGTTTTTTGTTCTTTACTTTAAAATTATCAGAGGGCAACTTCCACAAATGTTTGACCGAAGTCCGGAAATCGTTGCATTCCCCCCCCCCCCCCCCCCCTTTTAAAGAACGCGATGGTTCCTAGCTTCCCCTGCGCTTTTTAAACGCACCATCGAACTTGTTGTCAACACAACCGATGATAAGTAGGCAGGTAAGTAGGTATGTCTGAAGCAATGTAACAGTTACCCATTCGCACCACCAGGGTGCGCTGGTCCTCGCCCTGTAAAGTATGTCTTCGCCATATTAAATTTGTTCTTTGTGTGCTGTTCCTCTAAGTGGAAGCTTCTGTTCTTTAGCGCTTCGGCGCTAACCGCCGAAGCGCTTCGGGGTTAGCGCCGAAGCGCTAACCCCGAAGCTAACTGCCGAAACGAGATGCCCAAGTGTTAACGAAGGCACGAAGCGTATACGGTGGAGCATAGCCACCTCTATACTCACAAAGCCTAGCAGTTCAATGAAGGAGCCATAGAGTGCCTGGTCGCAGATTTGGAGCGCGAGGATCTGGTAACATAGAAGCATTTCTCTGGGAGTCTGGTGTTCACCGCACAGTTTTTGCAGCGGCGAGGACCCGAATCATGGTCTTCAAACCCGATGACAAGACAAGCGGTGGCACGAGGAACGCTAGAAGCACGAGTGGACATTCTATCGCTCGGGACAAGTGCGTTTAGGCGTCTCACCGCAGCGGGGCGCCCGTTACGTGACTCTTGTAGGGTGCCTGCATGTCTGTCTGTCTCAGGGTGAAGACATCCATTGTTGCACTGAATGTGCCAGCGCGTGACGCTCTCGCGCACTCGGTGCATGACTTGGGCGGTAAAATGGCGTCTATGCATTAGCCAAAGCTACGTGCTCGAGCTGAGTGACACCGGATTGCGCGCACTTAAAAAGGCATGAAAAACAATTGAGCGGAAAAATGGCTGAGATGTCACCACTCAAGCAAAGGCGCGCGTGTGTATGAAGGCACTCTAGACTCGTGTAAAGCCCCTCTTACCTAAGAAAAGTGGCGTCATTCGTTGTTGTGGAAATGTCCAAGACAAGTGCAGCGCGCCACTTCTCGGGAGAACATGGCGTCTGAAATCTAGCTCAGTGCTGCGCTGTGCCGCCATGATCTTCCTAAGGGCTGCACGTTGCACGTGCCTCGTGCATTGGTACAGCTTTCTCTACAATCAAGTACTGCAACTCTGCGCTCAACGCAGTCAGGCGTATAGGCAGCGCAAGAGGAGGCGCGACTGAAAACATAGACAAACGGAAGGTCAAAGCCCTCGTAGTCTCGCGCGTGGTCTACGGAGCCCGCCACTACTGGCTCAACAAGGGAAAGTGGCAGAAACTGGAAACCTTAAACTATCAAGCAATGCGTGTAATTACCGGCCTTCCTAAGTTTACCCCCCTCGGCAAACTGCTGGAACAAGCCGGTATCAACAATCTCCATGATGTAGTGACGGCCCGCACGGTTGCTCACAGTGAGCGCCTCAAGCTTACTGGACAAGGCAGAGAGATTATGAAGCTTCTCCACATGCCCACGGAGAACCTCCCAGAACTACCCGAGCAACTTCCACCATGGGAAGACCTCGCGGAGATCACCGACAACAAGCCTAGTAGACGCAGAGGGGACACCAAGCAGCTAACACCTAAAGCCAAGGCGCACACCAAGACGGTAGAAGCATGGGATCCGAGTTGCATCATGGCTGCCTACACGGACACCGCATCGCTAGACGGCCCCGTCACCCTGAAGACGGCAGCTGTAGCCATCCCTGCCCTACAAATCAGCGCTACCCGCAGCTCCCCGAAGGCGCCTCGACCAAAGGGGGAGAACTCAGAGCAATCCGCCTCGCCCTCGAGACGGTCCTCGCACTCCCCGACCCGCTAACAACGAATCTCCGGATATTTACAGATTCACAAGAGGCGGTGAAGGAATGTAGAATAAGGAACAGTCCAAGCCGGATAGTCCGCTCGATAAAGAAACTTGCTTCTCAACTAGCTTCAAGAGGCACCACCACTAGAATTGCATGGGTTCCCGGTCACGCGGGCATACCCGGCAACGAACAGGTATATCGCCTGGCCCGCGCGTCACTTATTCTTTCCCGCGGTTCGGACGACATACCTGCATCAAAACATGACCACGGGTACGGCCACGCTCGCGATCGGGCACAGGCCAACTGGGAACCACAAGAATATGATCCAGGCGAGGTTCGGGCCAAGATCTGAGAAGACTATCTAGCAAAACTCGAAGAGAAGCTCCCCGAAAACCCAGACCCGCTCCCTTGCACGGGTTTTGGAAGACGGGCGAGAGTTCTGACTCGAGTGAGGACGGACACCGCACTAACACCAGCGCGCATCGCATCTTGGAGCCAAGGAAAAAGATCCGGAACGTGCTCCAAGTGCAACATGGGCGTCAAGGCAGACATTTTTCACTTGGTGGGGGAGTGTCCAGAGTACAAAGACACAAGGGCAAAACATTGACCAACAGACATCGCATCTATGGAGGGGTGGACACATCCACCAGGCTCCGAGAGTGGCAGACGAAGAGTCTTGAAAGGTCTCCTGGATTTTATCTATGAGGCCAAACTGGACATATTCATATAGATTTAGTTACCTTTCCTTAGTGCCAGCGTCCAGATCTTGATATCACCGGCGCACTCCCTCATACACCCTTCCCTCTTTTCTTCCTTTTTTTTCTTTTACTTGACTGACACGGTCTGGGCACGAGCGCTTCGCTTTGACCAGCGCTTTAGACGCACGAGGAGCGGCCTTCAAATCGTCATCTTCGATTTCTCTGATCAACAACAAACAATAAAATTAGGTTTGTTGTCCACACAGCTGCAGCATGCCGCTAGTGGCGTGACTGTTCGATCTCCTCCCCAATAGAGGAGGCTATGGTTGGAGGCAGATCAATTGAAAGACCTCCCTGCCGTTCGTGAGCACGACACAATTTTTACATTAATTAACAAAATCACATCCCACCCTGAGATCATCCCAACCCAGCACGCGCATGTTCGTCGCTTTGAAAAAAAGAGCAAGAAAACGCACCTCATGTAGAAACATAAGTGACACTCGTCAAAAGTCTTTGCCGCGAATGATTTATACGGCCTGCAAGTTTGTCTGCTTTTGTTCTGCCCCCGACCAATGATCCCGTGAACTTGGCTGTATATTTATCACGCGTTGCCCGAGCATTCTCTATGTTTCCCTTTGATTGGCATGCTCCTCCTTGCGTTTCGATGCTCCAAAGACGCATTTCGGAAAACTTGCTCGCCGTATACGTAAAGAAATTGAAGGAGAGGAGAAGAGGAGAGCATGCGGTGGACATTAGAACGCTGATCTCTGATTGGAAGGATTAGTGGTAGATGAAAATGCTAGCTGCCTTTGTCTCTAATTGCTCTCCCCTCAATCGGAGCGAATTTGTATTTGTAGTATATTCGGGTCCACTCCCAGAGGTTATTCACTGGACACCATATTCGAAGGCGATGTTTAGAACGCATGCTTAGAACAAGCTCACATTAACAGACTGCTAAGACCGGCAATCTTGATGGTGCGGAATGCAATTTGCAAAAGAGCTGTGGAAGCTGGCTGTCAACACGCGCTCATCACTTGCCCGTGTCGACAGCCAGCAATGGCCGCCAGTGAATATACTCCCTATAGACCCTTTTCATGGTAAACGGCACCAGGCGGCGCTCCAGTCTTTGATGTTCCAGATAAATTCCGGTTCGTAAAAATAATGAACAAAGCCTCCCTTTAAACCGATGCTTAAGTTATCAATGAAACGTTTAACCACCAATTCTCCAGATGAACGCCAAAAGGACGAAGAGGCGCGAGATCTGTTAAAAATTTTCAAATTTTCTTGTAAGACAACTTGTTTCCTCCAAGACGTTCAACTGTACAGCCGAAAGCCTTAGCTAAATCTCCAAATTAGTTTTCCGTTCAACATTTATGTTTTCTATAACTAGTGACCTGAGCAAGCTCGACAGGCTGGGAAAAACGGAGCGGCCGGTAGCCACTTGCGACGCAAGCGGTAGTTCATGTTTGTAAACAGCGTTTGGTGATGAACGCCAAAAGAACGAAGAAGCGCGAGATCTGTTCAAATGTTTCTAATATTCCTTTAAACCAACTTGCCTTATCCAAGACCTTAAATTGTACAGCCGAAGGCCCTCGTTAAATCTCCAACTTTGCTGTCCGTGTAGCATTTTTGCTTCCTAGCACTGTTGACGTAAGCAAGCACGACAGGCTTGCAACACGGAGCGACCGCAAGCCGCTTGGGACGCAAGCAGCTGTTCATATTTGTGAACACTAAAACAGTCTGTTTACACTGTACACTGTAAAACACACCGGGAAACGGCTATACACTATATTGAGTAGGCTGCTCACTGAGGATTCTCAGAACGAGCTCACAATTATAGGTTCTTAAGACCAGTAATTTTCATGGTGTGAAATGCACATTTCAAAATCCCTGGGAAAGCACGCCATCAGCACGCGCTAAGCAGCTAAGCACACAGCTATGGCCGCCAGTGAATACGCCCTCAGGCAACTGGATTTTGTTTCGCCTTTTCTCGACAGACTGGAGCGCTCGAAGGCCAGTATTTCATTAAGACAGGAAAGCTGGTCTCTCTGAGCGAACAAAACCTGAACGACTGTTCCGGAGACTTCGGGAACCGGGGCTGCTGCGGTGGTCACGTGGACGCTGCCTTTGAGTATATCAAGACCGGAGGAGGTCTCGTCACCGAACAGAGCTATCCCTACACTAGCAAGGTGGGTGCCGTTTGCGAGCAAGTTAAGGGTGTCCTGTGCCTAAAAACATTCTTGCTTGTGTATCTAAGCGTTCCATTTTACATGTGCAATAAGTAAACAATTAATTAAGAATTTACATTCCAGACCGACGGCTGTGCTCAACATGACTGCAAAAGCCCTCGCTAGTAGTGCAAAGGTCTTGCGTATGATCTATGAAGACCTTATTATTTCCAGTATGTAGTAGAGAACTGCTCGCGCGACGGTGTACTAAGCGACAGACATTGGGAATGGTTTTACATTTTAGGCGCTGAAAATCTGTGACAAGGAACATGACAAATTGTTCCAAGCACCTCCAAAATACAGACTACGCTTACCTGCTTTCACTTAATTACAAAGGAAAATGAAAAAATTATTGTATTATTTTCAAGCGCGTCTACGTGCCTACCTCACCGCACGGTAGCCTGGGGCTACGCTATGCTGAAACTGCTCATTAGTAACCATGGCGCAAGTTGATCCCGTGTAGCAATGCACTAAAACCGCGACGGTGTGCATTGAGCTCTGAGCCTCTGACACAGAGATATCACTACTGGGAACGGTGCTCTGCAGGAACTTGCGGGTCACCATGCGCGACTCACGTTTCAGAGCACTGGTCACCAGGCACAGCACAAACACCACGATATTTTCACCACCCGCAAAACTATTTTGCCACACACAATGATGTCACCGGCGCCCAAAAGACGCTCGCCTTCCACAAAGCGTAACGACCTTTGTAATTTTTCCACCGCTTCTAAAAAAAAAAAAAATATTTGTTTTTCGAACGTTTGCCAACATCTCTGTCACATGTGATACGTTCCTGATCTGACCGTTTGGCATCTGTAGCCAAATAACTTCAGGGTGATTTCAGATAAGATCGACCAAAGGGTGGCTGGTCGACATTTTTAAATCAACTGATGTTTTTATATGACATTGTCTAGTGTCTGGTATAAACGAATCCACACTTAGTTTTGACCAGAAAAAAAAATTGGAGACAAGAAAAATCGTAAGGCAGGGAGAGGTGGACAGTAGCAATAACGCGCACTGAATGGAGGGGGCAAGTTTGAAAGTGAATAATTAAAACAATAAAATTAGGAGAATTTTAAAACTTTTTACAAACAAACTATGGGTACACCTTGCTTGTAATATAAAGTAATAATATTTATTAAAAATTTATTTAGTTTTCTAAAAATTGCCAAACATGCCTGCTCGAACGACAAATGGCAAACTTTGGAAATCTGTATCTCATGAAATAATTTAATCATTATTACATAACTTGCAGACATTATTTTACTAATATATGGCTATTATTGAAAAAATAAATAAGGTATCTGAGTGACACAATAGTTACAATATATTTAGGCAAACATGGGGAAAAAATCAAACAAAGAAAAATTCCAATGCGAATAAAAAAAAAAACACCACCTTCGATTTTTTTTAAATTTGGGTACCCTGTTATACTCTATTTCGGCATTCATTTCTATTAAAAACATGTTGCATCATCGCACTGTGAAAGAAGAAACAACTCCCCAAAGTAGGGTCCTTTTTCAAAGCCTACACTTAGCAGTGTCCTATACAAGAAGCAGTGTCCTATACAAGACCGGCAATCTTGATGGTGCGGAATGCAATTTGCAAAAGAGCTGTGGAAGCTGGCTGTCAACACGCGCTCATCACTTGCCCGTGTCGACAGCCAGCAATGGCCGCCAGTGAATATACTCCCTATAGACCCTTTTCATGGTAAACGGCACCAGGCGGCGCTCCAGTCTTTGATGTTCCAGATAAATTCCGGTTCGTAAAAATAATGAACAAAGCCTCCCTTTAAACCGATGCTTAAGTTATCAATGAAACGTTTAACCACCAATTCTCCAGATGAACGCCAAAAGGACGAAGAGGCGCGAGATCTGTTAAAATTTTTCAAATTTTCTTGTAAGACAACTTGTTTCCTCCAAGACGTTCAACTGTACAGCCGAAAGCCTTAGCTAAATCTCCAAATTAGTTTTCCGTTCAACATTTATGTTTTCTATAACTAGTGACCTGAGCAAGCTCGACAGGCTGGGAAAAACGGAGCGGCCGGTAGCCACTTGCGACGCAAGCGGTAGTTCATGTTTCATGAAACTTGCACAAATCTTTTATATACATTTATTCAGACGAGGTCATTGATAAAAAGAGCGATCGGTCACACAGTAAAAGGGAGGAGAAACTATATACAGCATTTTACATAAGCGTACAAAGTGGTATCATATTAGAGACTAATGATTTGAGAAAAGATGATGCAGTGTGAAGTTGTACCTTCCGGTATATTTTACATCTAGAGTAAAATAAATAACTGTACTTCCACACACAAAAACAAAGATATAATAGTAAGATATTTAGGTTGGCTGTGTATTTACGATTACAAACAATTTCAGGTGACGGATGCCATAGTGCCTAACTGGAGCAGCTTCGATGCTCTCGGTGTATGAATGAATCGTGGCGAGCCGATATATTTTATCCTGCTCGAGGATAACATTTTGGGATTTTTTTATAGTGATCAGATAAAAATTATTAGTAACCACCAACAAAAACAGTAGGTTAAATACCCCGTGAAGAAAAACGTGATAAATAAGATGTCCCTGCATTCAAAATGAGCAGTCCTTGGGAAATCAAATTCGGCACTTTACGCTAAGGTTTTCCTCGCTGTACCCATTTAATAAAGTTGCTTCCAAGCAGATCCGACTGTCCGTGCTACATATACGTCACAGGTCCCTTCTGTTGATGACTTGCTGAGCCGCCACGCGTGCCAAGACTGAATGCCAGGGAAGGCGCGCACCGTCAGCCACTCTTCTTTTTTTTGTTCACGATACCGAACAACCTCATTTTCGTCGAGATATACAAGATGCACGCCTTTCAGTTTCTTTGATAGAACGCTCACCATTGTCCTGGCCGTCTGAATTGCGCTTACTGAACGTTCTCTCAGGTTGTTCAGCGTGGCCTGGTGCTTCACGAGTCCGCCAACTCCGTCACATGCATTTTTCCCATGTCCAGATGCAGAAAATAACCACTGGGCTTGTGGGCGATCGTCCTTTGCAGATTGGTGAAGCTGGTAGCGATTCTTGAAATGACTGGCGGCGCCGTCACTTACGTACGTCACGTACGAGTATACCGCAACGTTGTCTTCAACCCACTCCTTCACTTTTTCTAGAGCCAAGCAAGCGTGAGCGGCGTCGTGACACAGGTCCTCACTGATGATGGCAAAGCTGTTTGTAGATTTTCTTGTCGTCACTACACATGTATATATCGAAACTTGTTTTTTTTTTCCAGTGATATGCTTGCACTTCGTCAGGAAGCACGATGGTCCAGTTTTCAGCAAAGTCAAAATGAAAGACAATGCTCCCGCGTTGCATGCACTATTTTTCATCGTAGATCGCTTTACCTTGCGTTTGCCGGATATGGTTGTGAAGTACCCAACTTCCAACCGTCACTTGGATGACTTTTAGGAAAGTCTCAGGTTGCAAAGTTTTTTTCACAAGGTCGCCGGACTCCCATGTTGCAAGCACAATCTCTTCATCCTCCGGGATATCAAGTTCCTGGAGTGTAAGAAACTGGCCTTTTGGGCAGTGATCACAGTCTCCTTGAAGGCACAGTTCTGTTGCTGGGTCGCACAGAAATGCCGAGTTCATTTCACCAGTGTTGAATGTTGAGCCTGTAACGTTCTCTAGAGCGGCAATACAAAGATAATAATTGGCGCAGCGCACACAAACGCACACTTCCTGGTGTGGAATACATTGGACCCATCTAGGGCGCAACGAATAAAATTTCGTTAGCCCAACGCCGGAATCGGGATGCTTGTCTTTGTATATACGGAAGGCCTCTCGTATTGAGCGTGTCATGAAGCGCTTTGGCACGAACGTTTTCTCTCCGTTGAGCATGACAGAGATGACGTCCTTCTGGTTGGGACTTTGGCGCGAACATTGTAGCTCGTCTTTCGTGAAGTACTCTAGGGCAGCAGACAGGTTCTCAGGGCTCACCTTGCACCTCGTGTAAGGATCCGGCTCATACCACACGCCATGCTTTTCCTTGAGTTTTCGGGATTTACTGATGAGGTACATTGAGGCCTGTGGAATCATCTTTTGAACCTCATTCTGCGTCAGTGTTGACGGCAGGAGTGTAAGCAGTTGACAACGTTCCCGGAGAGAGGTGGCGGTTTCAAAGGCCTGCCGAAAGTTGTCCACCCACTCAGTGCATGTGGAGCATGTTGGTTCGGACGACCCCGATGGTGCGTCCCTGTCGTACGCAATACGTAGCCTTGAGCGTATATTCTTGACAGCAACCTGCTCCAGTTCTGTCTGCTTTCTCTTGACATAGGCAGGCCTGTCCCGACTTCTTACGACGCTTGGTTGTCTCAGCGGCGACACATCTGTAGGTAGTATGCTGCGATTTAGATCTTCAATTGCTTCTTCAGCTGGCACAAATATGTCAGGGCACTGCTCTGAGCTTCGCATCGAGTTCTCCTTAGTGATGTGCATGAAGCAATGGTAGCACAGGTAGTCCGTCGCACTCACTTTGGTGGAACAGTCAGGCGGAAGAATTTGCTTCAACGAGTTTAGGTCCAACTCGCCAACACTTCGAAAATTCCGCTGCTTTGGTATAGTCTTTTTGTGTTTGCAAAAGTAATCTGCACAAAACACTCGTTCGGAGCTCCAGGACGTCTTCATAATGTATACATAAATAATAGAAATTAAACCCCAACTGATGGCATATAATTGCCAAGTGAAAGAACTACTGGGTGCACAAGTGACAAGTCCGAGGCTGAGGAGCTCACTCACTGCAAACGTACATTTGAAAAGAGAGGTCACAACTGAGGCTGTCGGCAAAGCTTGATCCACGTCAAAGGAAGAAAGAGGGAAAGTCTCCAGACAAAAAATTGTGGTCAGCGGCCTTCGAAAAAGACTTTCCGGAATCGCACTGTCGTCCCTCCACGCGCTGATATGAAAGCACCCGAGCTTCTA